GTTGATCCTTAGAGGGAAGATAGGGGAAGGTGGTGGTAAGGAGGAGAGATCAACCAAAGGACTTGTATGCATGCATATAAGCCTACCCAATGGAATCAGACACTGGGGGGGGTGAGGGCATGAGTTGGGGATGTGGGGGGCAATGGGGAGATAAGGACACATATGTAATACCTCAATTATTAAAGAAAAAAAGAATCAAACAATGTTTTTTTGGTTTTTTTTATTTTTGGTGTGTTTTTTTGTAATAAATGCACAATTCTGTCAGTTTATTAAAAAATGTAACACCAAAAAAATTTAATTAATTAATTAATTAAAATTCTTTAAAAAGAATCAAACAATAAGTTGATTTCTTTCTATTATCTATCTATCTTCTATCTATCCAAAAAAATTTAATTAATTAATTAATTAAAATTCTTTAAAAAGAATCAAACAATAAGTTGATTTCTTTCTATTATCTATCTATCTATCTATCTATCTATCTATCTACCTATATCTATATAATCTCTTTCCCTTCTCCATTTTGAAAATCAATCAATAAATTAAAAATTATAAAATAATTGTGTTGTTTCTTTGGATACACATTCAGAAATGAGATTGCTGGATCATATGGTACTCCCAATTTTAATTTACTCACTAATGTAGATAAACATTTCCAATTTTCTTGGTGTAATATGAGAAATATGAAAAAATTCTATCCGATACACACTAGATAATTTAAATGTAATGTTCTATTTCTTCTAATGATTTGTGTCACTTACCGTGTATTTTCAGTTTACTATTTCTGCGTCCCCAGTTATGGTCAAGTGAAATTTTTAAAAATTACCTTTGTTTTCCTTTTACATCGTTAGACTTGGTTTTTTTAATTTACAACTAAAATTTTCATTAAAATATAAACTACTAATTATAATTTGAATATGAATTAATAATATGAGTATTAATTTAATATTTCAATTTATACATTATGGTATAGTTCAGTGTTGCTTAATGTCTTATTCTTCACAGACATTTATTAATATCAGGAAAATTTATATTTCTAATATTCAAATAAAATAAAATATAGCAATTCTAAAAACAAAGAGTGTGAGAAGATACATTTGACAATAAATATTTGTGACAGTTACTATATGTTGAAAATGTAGTAAGTTATCAGACTATTAGTGACAAACATCATTAAGTAGCTATTGTTAATGAAATTATGGTTTTAGAATTATTCTACTATAATTAAAATATCATAATGAGTGTATAAGTAAAATGAGGTAATGCCATTATTAGCAACCTCGTCTAAGAGTAGAACTTAAACATCTGAGATACTCTTCACAAGGCCTAAGATTTGTGATTTCAAGATGAAATAAGTTAACAGCATGAGTAAGTAGTCAAGTCTTTTGTCCCAGAAATCTTTTAGAATATGAAAATAATATCTCAGACGCACTTACCAATGGACAAACTAAGTGACACACTACAAGCTCAAAGTCTCCTACATTCGGATGATGTGTGATGAGATAAATCATCTTCAAAATTGCCCAAGTGTAAGAATTTCCTGTTCAAACTCTAAGTGACACAGTGATGAGAAATCTACTTTTTTTTACTTTTGATTCACTCTCAGTCTTCACAGGCCACTCAGTGGAGACCACAGACATTGTTTAAGGAGTGACCTTGCCTCCCACTAAAGGATTCATAACTTACTGGCAGTAGGAGAAGAGGGAACCTGTTTCCCTGGCCACAGGCGCTGGTGCCCTGGACCACAGGGCTGGTAGCTTCTCGGGGTGGCTGCAGCCTGGGACCTCTGGCCAGTAGCTTGTCCATCTCCTGGGCTGCAGCCAGCCCCAGGCGCTGGTGCCAGGACCAAAGGTGGGCCGCTTCTTCTTCTGGGGGCTTCTTCTTCTTCTGTGCTTCCAGGCAGGGTAGTCAGTTAAGTGTCATGCAAAAATAGGCATCAACAATTGCAGAAGCCGGGTGTGGGGCAGGGAAGCTGCATCCGGGGAAGCTGGCTGAGGCTGCTTCCCTGCCCACACACCTGGCTTCTGTGATCGCCCCTGCACTGGGCTTCTGCGGTCACCCATTGCAGAAGCCGGGTGTGGGGCAGGGAAGCTGCATCCGGGGAAGCTGGCTGAGGCTGCTTCCCTGCCCACACACCTGGCTTCTGTGATCGCCCCTGCACTGGGCTTCTGCGGTCACCCATTGCAGAAGCCGGGTGTGGGGCAGGGAAGCCGCAGCTGGGGACGCTGGCCTGACCCGCACCCAGCTTCTGCGATTGCTCCTGCACCTGGCTTCTGCGGTCACCAATCACAGAAGCTGGGTGCGGGGCAGGGAAGCTGCGGCCGGGGACGCTGGCGGCAGACGCTTCCCTGCCCCTGCATCCAGCTTCTGCATCGCTGTCTGTGTCCGCTTCCCTGCCCCACCCCCCAGGCTTCTCGGATCACCCACTGGTGGCAGGGCAAAGGTGGCAGCGGTGCTGCAATCGCACGGACCCGCAGCGGCAGTGGCCCCGCGATCGCGGGCTCTGCTTTAGGCCCAAGCAAGGGACCCCTAGCTCCCGGGACTGCCAGCTTCACCCGTGCCCAGCTCCCATCGCTGGCTCCACCCCTACTTCCTGCTATCACTGGCCACAGCGGCAAAGGTGCCCAATTCTCCAATCATGGCTGGGGGGCAGGGCAAAGGCAGCCCCCAGGGCCGCCTTTGCCCTGCCCCCGGCTCTTAGCTCCCCCCTGGGTTTCCGATCACTGCCAGTGGCAGGGGGCTTCTTCCTGCTTTCCCTTTCGCCTCCCTGAATTGTGCCTACATATGCAAATTAACTGCCATCTTTGTTGGCAGTTAATTTGCATATCACCCTGATTAGTCAATGAAAAGGGTAGCGGTCGTATGCTAATTACCATGTTTCTCTTTTATTAGTGTAGATAGCATAATGAGTGTATAAGTAAAATGAGGTAATGCCATTATTTAGCAACCTTGTCTAAGAGTAGAACTTAAACATCTGAGATACTCTTCACAAGGCCTAAGATTTGTGATTTTAAGATGAAATAGGTTAACAGCATGAATGGTCACATCTTTTATCCCAGGAATCTTTATGAAAATAATTTCTCAGACGCACTTACCAATGGACAAACTAAGTGACGCCCTACAAGCTCAAAGTCTCCTACATTTGGAAGATGTGTGATGAGATAAATCATCTTCAAAAATGCCCAAGTGTAAGAATTTCCTGTTCAAACTCTAAGTGACACAGTGATGAGAAATCTACTTTTTTCTACTTTGGATTCACTCTCAGTCTTCACAGGCCAGTCGGTGGAGATCACAGACATTGTTTGTTTACAGGAGTGACCTGGCCTCCCACTAAAGGATTCATAACTTACTGGCTTCCAGAGGTATGTGTGTCTACTCTCCTGTCTCTCTACTGGCCCAATTCATTTAATGCTAAATTACAAATGCTAGATGTGATACTACCTAAGTACAATTCACATACAATCAAATAAAATAAAACATTGGTATCTTTATTTGTACTATTTAGGGTAAAAAGAGTAAAATATGAAATATGTTGGTAGATATCTTAAAATATTCAAATGTTTGTCTGTACAAAATTACTAAAGAGCATACGTACATGTATATTTGGCCTTGAAAATCAGTATAACTTAAATAAAATCCCATTGGATTTTGGATTTTGTAATTAATAGATATAATTATCAATGTATATTATTTCATATTTATACCAGATTTAAAAAATAAATTCTTAACAAGAATTCATCAGGTCATGAAGGTAAAACATAGTTCCTCATACACACCCTACGAAGAAATAAAATCAGTGTGACTTGCAATAAAAATCAGAATTTAGTAGTCTCGGTAAAATGCTAAAACTTTTAAAAACCTTTGTTGTTGAATATTTAAACTTAATTATAAACAATCAAAATACTTTTTAGAAATTGAACAACACATGCAAAAAGATGCCACACTGATAAGAGACTCCTGTCTAACGAATTACATTTTCATTGTCTGATATGAATCAGAAATAATAACAAGGCAATTGTGTTAAAATAATTAAAACAAGTGACATACTGAGAGTTTATAAATATCAGATTGACTGCTATCTTTACATGCGTTGTATTTTAAAATATTTTATTCCAACCGTAGATTAAGCTAGGTTGTAAGCTAGGTTCTTAAACACTAAATAACTTTTAAAGGTAATACATTATAAATTTCAAAGCCAGAATTTATTCTAGATCTCACTGACGGCATAGTCCATTGACTGAATTATTGAATAAATTATCAGATTTATTACATTTGCCTACACACTACAGTCACCTTCACTGACTTTGATAGCCCTAGGATCTTTCAGGAATTTTGCACCAACAACGTTCCTCCATAAATGATATACACATTTATTAATCATTTTATGGTTTCATTTCCTAACCGTAAAATAAATTGTAAGTTCAAAATTAGTATTGTGTAAAATTAATATTTTTAAGAATCCTTTAACTTTCTATTGCTTTCATTTTTTGTAAGTTTTGGATACCTTTAGAGTGTCATGTAGCATTTTTCAGCATATAAAATATTTTCTTAAATTATAATGATTTCTCAGAACTCCATAATTATTTAAAATATCAAGTGACATTTTAAAATATCATCTGCCCTTTTAATAAATAAATATAAGTGACTAAATAAATTTAATTTATTACAGAAAGTACTATATATTCTAATACTACTATTCCCCCAACTTTAAAACACTCAATATGTAACCATAAATTGTCATAAAAATTAGTGCATCACTTTTTTCTACACAGCATTTTAATTTTCACAGTTATTCTAATTGTATCAAAATGTTTCAGTGGAATCTGACTTTAATAATGATATCATTATTCTGAATTTCTTTATTCTTCAGTTACTTCTTACTTTTCATTGCTTCAACCAATAATATTATGTCAAACATAGAATATCATTTTAAGAACTATTATTCTATCATGAAGCACATTTAAATCTCTATGTAAATTAGAACAAGACTTCACATTGGTCAAATGCGAAGTGAGTACTGTTACAATCTCACACTCCACCCACAAAGACTATCCTTGGGGTCTTGTCA